AGTTAGAAGTTAGAGTTCGATCATCCTTTTCCGATCCGATTCGAGTGGGATGCGGCGTACCGCAGGGTTCGGTACTTGGGCCTCGTTTGTTCCTGCTTTTCATTAACGATCTAGTAAGAGTTATTACGTCGAAATTCTTACTCTTCGCGGACGACCTCAAGGTTTGGCGGGCGATAAAACGATCGGACGACCATGAAGTCCTACAGCGTGACTTGAATGAGGTCCTGGAATTGGTCGGTGAGAAACGCCCTGCCGTTTAATGTGAACAAATGTCGCGTTGTTCATATCCGCCATCGACAAGTCCACGTCTACAAGCTTGGGGCACACGATCTGAAGACCACCACTCAGGAACGCGACTTGGGTGTGCTGGTACAGGAAGACCTCGGGTGTTCCAAACAGTCAGATTCCGCTTCTAAAAGGGGCAACCAGCACGTTGGACTCCTGCGAAGAGCATTCGGAATTTTGGATCCATCCATCTTCCCTTTGATGCTGAATGCCTACGTGCGTCCTCACGTCGAATATGCAATCCAGGCCTGGCAACCCTGGCTACAATGTGACCTTGCAGCGCTTGAGACCCCACATCGTCGAGCAACGAAAATCGTCAAGGGCTTGCGCCACACTCCTTACCAGGAACGACTGGAGATACTCGGAGTGTTCAGCGGACGGTACCGGCGAATTCGTAGAGACCTCATACTAGTGTACCAGATATTGAGCAATCCCAGTCACGTGTGCCGTCACCTCTTGAAGCTCAGCCCGAACACTAACCTTCGCGGTAACAGTTTAAAGCTGAGCCAACAGTACAGTCGTCTAGACTGTCGGAGAACCTATTTCTCCCTCCGGGTCTGCGGGCCCTGGAACGCCCTTCCAAACTCAGTTGTTTGTGCCCCCACATTAGATACATTTAAAAAACGATTGGACGTCACACTGAGCGCCCTGCGCTTTGTTTTATGAACGAAAACGCTTGTATATATTTGGGCTGACCAGCCTCTTTGGATTTATACCCCAAATTCACTGTCGTAAATCTGTGCGAACCGGTGAGTACTCCATTTTTTTTGCTACCATCACCAACGATAACAATTTCTTAGCCAGTTTTGCGTCGTACCACTTTATCCCCCTAAAACTGTTATACTTCTACCTTTTATCTCACTGACGCTCCTTACTTCAACCACGTATGTGGTTTGCCAATTTGTTAGTATTTCTATTGCCAACCTGCGGGACTCGTTAAGTGTATGCTTTTTTACCCGTCATATACCATTGTTCCATTGTAGTGGGGTGGTCCACGAACTGGTGTAGTGGTACATGTAGCGTCAAGTCCAGCAGTTCCGTACCGAACGATTCCAGAGCCGAACTGCAAGATAGATCATCCCAACAAACCTCTGGGAGGTTGAAGTCTCCCAGCACCAGACACTTGTTCACAGAGTGAGTGCGTATAAACTCAATGATTCCATTGGAGGTGCTCATGGGGCTTCTATACACTAACACGACCGTAACCTGAAACGGGTAAGCGCAAATCAAGACTGCGAGAGCCTCAACAGATTTGTCGAGAGACTGAAAAACGCTGGTCCTCAGTACGTCGATGTGGTAACTCACATAAAGAGCTACACCACCTCCTTGACGGCCAATGGAGCGGTCAGCGCGGAACAGTGCGTAGCCAGGCAGATATATTTCGCCATCTGTGATTTCCTCAGACAGCCACGTTTCAGTGAAAGCAAGTATATCTGGACGAGATTTGTCTAGGAGCAGACCCACCTCGCACATCTTGTTCCTCAGGCTACACACGTTACTAAGCCCTGGGTCGTGCGCAAGTAGATTATGTTCTGGCAGGGCGGAAAAGGATCGCCGGCTGACCACCTGAAAACCCACCAATCGGAGACCTTGCTCGCCAGCTGCATGCCGGACTTTTAGGTCTCTGATGGTTTTCTTTAACTTTAACCTATCCGCTAACGGAAGGTCTGGTTGCACACTAACATTGGTACCTTTGAGCTTGAAGGCAAATCTCAGTAAGGCACTGCGCTCTTCAGGGGTGAAGAGGACCACCCTAAGCAGACGGGGTAGAGGATTTGATTGACCAACCGGAACGTTCCCCAATCTGGTGAGCTTCCTGACAGTAATGCCAGGTTACGGTTTTGATCATGAGAGGCTCTACGGCTCTAACTGCATATGAAGGTGGCTTATCCATTAGATAAATTATTGCAAAAACCAAATAAAAATGCGGTGGGTAATAAAACAAATTGATCACAAGTAATGAATCACGTGGCTTACTAAAACGGGGTCAGGAGGATGAAAATTCAACTTTGCGGGTGGTAAGGACGGCTCCGTCAAGTGCGCAGGTAAGAAACGAACGTAACACGGAATAAATGCTAAGGCATGAATGGTATTTCTCCCAAACTGTATGAATGAGGCCTAATAGATTACAAGGATAAATAAATACGAAGTTTTAAAAGATTTGTGTACCTGGTTAGCTTCAGTGCAACATTTAGAAGTGAAGGTTGCATGAACTGCGTGAGGTAGAACATTTCGCGCGTCCTTTTCTTTCCGCCATGGTTGTCAACAAGACCGTGTTTATTCGTAGGTTTTCTTGCTTTCCGCAAAAGTGAATAAATAGAGGGAACTCTGAAACGTCTTCACATGGAAACGACCACCTCTTTTATAAAAGCAGCGTATTATCGGTTGCAAATTAGATAAATCAATTTCTTTCTCGGCTACACGAGGTTGACCATTAAAGGCATGATCATAGTAATAGTACAACAACCGATCAATAAATGTACAATAGTACATTAGGATTTTCAGATATGTGGATCCATAAATTTAGATATGTGGGTAGGTGTGTTGCTTGGGTTTTTGTAAATGTGTTGCTATTCTCTTGAATGAGCTCGCTAAAGTTGCCGGTGTTTGAAGAAGTGTTTGACGTCTGTGGATTTGATTAGTTTGTCTACGTAAGCTTGGGCAGTGACTTTATTTAGTGGCCTGTCACATCCGCCATGTCACAGTGATGATAAGGGCATATTTGTGGATTTTTAGAAGGAGAACGCTGGTTAGGCGAAAACCCACCACATCCTGGAACACTGCCTGCAGCCGAAATATTTATTGGAAATGGTTAAACCAGAACCACCCAGCTTGCACCACCTGGAGGTTGTTCGGCTAGCCAGGCAAACGTAAAACGGGTAAGACTTTCCGAACGGCTGCAAGTGCAAGTCGGTGTTTTATCGATGCTTTCATAGTCGGCGATCCAATGCTCGGGGTGCTCAGTAAGTGGTGAAATGCATTGTGCACGCGTTATATATAGGGTGCGATGCTACCAGTGCAAGGCATGCTACTCTGTTGTATTGCAAGGTTCGCATTACGAACTCAGTCTTTTGTTCATGAAGCACTCGCCCGTTTTTCACGCGGGAAACCCGTGATTATATCCACGCAACTGCAGGCTGACATATGCGCAGGAAAAGTACATCAGGCGTCTAATGGCAAGTTTCCGGCACACGCAGGAAATGCGGCTACCTATGATGTGATCCTATGGTTTGCGTTTGAACGATCAAGCTTGGATTGGCATCAGACGGCGCAGACGTCAGGAGAACAAGAATGAATTTGAATAAGTGGCGGAGCTTATAGAAAGAAAAGGTGTATGCCGAGTTGTATGGGACTGCATGTAGGTTCGGTATCTATGGTGAGCCCTCCGAGATGGTCTCAATGGTGTCGTGTCATGGCTTGGTGATATTGACGGCCGCTACGCATCAGATTAACTACGGTGGCTACATCTTGTGTCACTGCATGTTCATTGATGTGACTGGTATCTCCACATCCTTTTTCTATAAATTGCTGCCCACTGAAACCGGATACAGTTACCGGCAGGCGGCGCAGGCGATTCGTGAATTGATGCACGAAACTTCAAATGTGCGTACAATGCTGGGGGACAAATGCATGGCACAAGCCAGGGGATTCCATGCTGTTTATCCAGATACTACCATGGTATATTTCCGGTTTCAGGTCATCCGTGATATGAACAGAAAACGCTCGTATTTAAGCCGTGTAAATGCGGTTGACGAACAGTAGATGCGAACGTTGGTGTACACAAGAGACTCAGCGCAATTTCATCGTATTCTGTGCATGATAAAGGATAAGCACTAGGAAGCTTATCCGTAGTTGTAGCGTACTTGGTTTAACTGGGCTGGCTCCTGGGCGACGTACAGGCTGCATGACGTCGTGCTACTTGGCTACCACGCAACGTACAGAGTAGAGAATGCGAACATGCATCTGAAGGGGTAATTGATCGAGTAGTTCTCTATTTTGATCCTGTTTCAGGTTCTTCTAGAAAGCACTTCTGCGGTTTTTGGCCTCAGTTTATCCGTTCTGGGGAAGAATTCCATGCACTCTACTTTCTTGTCCCCGAAACGTTCTGCATAAACACCTATTATGCCGAAGTTAAGCAGCAACGCTTCGGTGTTCATTATAAGCACGTCAGTGTACCCAGCGTTTCTTTCGACTGAGGATGCTGGCTGGTCGCTTCCCATATGAATAAGGTATAGAGGGTGAAAACACTATAGTGTTACTCATCCCAACACTGGCACCTCAAGACCGCGGTTTCGTCCTGGTTGGGACTCATCAGTTGGAGATAGCCAGGTATACAGGGTGTCTATTCAGGGCGGCGGTACATGCACTTGTTCATCCCAGCTTCAAAGCGGGCACATTTGCTATCTTTCCGTGGGGCGACATCTCGGTGCAGATGAGTTATTGCATGGATGCAGATGGTTATTTTGTCTTCGTCAGAATGAGGCGACTAAAATTGAGGAGGGCACTGCGGTCAGCGTGCGTGCGGTAAGTGCCATGCCGGTATGCGTGCTGGATCGAGCGTCTAAATTGCGTGCGGTGGAAGAGGTATTTTAGGATATGGTGGCACAGCTGCATAGCTACGTATAAATGGGATGCGCAGTCCGCTTGATGTAATGGCGGTGGACTGAGATTTTGCTCTGTTTTGCAGGACGTCGCGGTGCCACTTGGCGCTTCCATTAAACGGCGGCAACGTTGCACGCCTGATGTCCACTTCCTCCCGGCCAATCTCCGAGGCAACTGATAGCAGTGTCGTTGGTGTCCTCGGAAGCCATATCGGGTAATTCCTCTGCGAGTGCCATACCATCCACGATCACGGTTGTCCCTGGCGACGTTAACCAGGATGTCTGTCGTTTAGCGTCGAAACTTAAGTCACCCTTGAAACTGCGCTGCACTGAGTTTCCTCCAGACTGTAGCGACCTCATACGGATTAAGTTTCGAAGCTTAGTGACCACCATATCTGTCCGATATCGCACACAGCTACGGCAACGCTGTAGCATGTCGGGCAACGCAGTGCATACCGATACCAGCGTTTGCGCTGTAGGTTTGCAAAAAGCGTAGGTGGACGGTGATGGTTCTTCCATTCAATTGGTAATGTGCGATGTAGACAAGGAATTGTTTCACCAAACTTGTGCCGGTTACCGCGATGAGTGTATGTATTGCTGTCCACTTTGCTTTGTAAGTTGTGTTACGCTTGATGACGCGTTCATATATAAAACAACCTATGTTTACCCTTCTTTGCCGATATACAAACCTGGATCGCAACTGTTATTACAGAAGCACACCTTGCAGTAAATACTTCGTTGCTTACACGACATTTATTTCTTACTGCCTTATACATGCATCACAGGTTACCGTGTGTATATGTCACACGCTGATAATCGCGCGGAAGTAGCTGTAAGTGGATGTTTATGACGGTCGCTCAATGTTTCAATACGAGAAGTCCGTTAATGGCTACGGAAGATTCCCATTTGCAACTGCAATGGGACTAAACGAATGGTTTGATAGATAGGGCTTTTAGTTTATGGCTTTAAGGCGAAACGCAGTCTTTCGTGTCCTTCAAGGAAACATGCATGCGGCGCACTGCGTTGTGGTTCAAATGGCATGTTAATAATCTGCCTGGGTCATCATTGTGCGTTTAATACGCTTATTCTGCATTGGTTACGCACGTTCACTTTCAGGAAACAGACAACGCAACGGTAACGTGCGACTTAATACGGGAAACGCTGCAACGCGCTTACTTCGATTGGTCACATGCGTTCGGAAGGAAAGCTACCCGGTGTAGCCGTTAACTGTTAAACTCCGGTCATCTTGGTTCTCTTTTTCACCAACGCTGAACTCACGAGCGACGTAATTACACCGTGTACTACTTTGGCCCGCAACAATCATGCGACACTGTTGGTTCATTATCGGAGCCACGCGGAGTAGCTTAATGAGCATGCCAAGGAGTCTTACGTCGTACTCAACTTTGACGATTTTTCCGACCTCATTGGTGCAGCAAGCTAGACGTTTCTAGCCCAATGATAACCTGAAGTGGCCTGCGGAGCATTCGTCTACAGATGCAGCAAGCTCGTGACAAGCAGACCTGCAACCAAATTCCACTGACCAAAAATGCCGAAGTCTTTCGTAAGGAGCAGGATATGTAAATGCATGACATTGAGGGACTTGGCATGGTTCACATACTTAGCCTCTCTGAGCGAAGACATCTGGGAGGATAAACCAAAACACCAACAAGATCTAGTGGAGAAGTTTTGCTGTAACCCCAAGCTGCTATACAGTCTCGTAACCAAACTGCACCGCGTCAAGCGCAGAATTCCTGTTTCGCACACAGCATGCGGGTTAGCACAAACGGCACAGGAAGCGGTTAACCTACTTGAACAACAAGTTGGCCGTACCTTCCGCAGCGTGCAGATCATGCTGTCATCAGGACTTAAACAACCACATAAACAAATACTTAGTATATTCTCGACAGCGAAGCACACTTGAATAGGCATGATCAGAGCAATAAATTAATAAATACACCTTTACTGTCGACAACACGAGGCGCGTCTTTACAGGCAGGATCATGCTATGATAGCAGTGTGAATTTTTGGCAGCATCCAGTTTCCGATTTGCCTGTCACTGTGGCCAGACACAGGACGCCTGCGCCTACAGAGGGACCATGGGTGGTTTGCGTTGCAACACCCACAGCTCCAACCACACACCACATCTCCAGTGGAAACCCGGAGGAATAAGACCGGGAGGCATGTGGACGGGAGCCACGTTTCATCAACGGATCCGGCCCACACTCCCTCACTGGCAAACGCAGGCAGGCTGTATTTGGGGAACCAAGTACACACAAGGCGGTGGCTGGACCGTAGTCCGCTCCACACTGAGTGCATGGAACCACTCTTCGAGGCTAGCACGGCCACAAGGACCGTGCACCCCGTCCCCTCCAGCAACGACCAACTGTCTCCTGGAGCCAGCATGAACGAGGTAGTGGGTAATAGACAGGTAGGCACCTTGTCAACATGCACATCAAACACAGCCACACCGGGGATATCAAGCAACAGCCATTCACTTTAAACGACAAGCTAAAATAAAATAACTCCAATAATGCATACAGATACGGTGGCATAACTCTCCCCTAAATTACCATGTGAATTAACTTGGTTAGCAACGAATCCGCGATAAGTAAGAAATGTCCACAAGTTATTGAAAAATGCTACAAACGCAACAAAGTTACCGAAGATAAGCGCAATTAGCGTAAACAACGTGGCCAGTTAATAGAAGATTATTCAGGTAGGCAAAACAGATCAAATAAAGTGGAATGAAATTTATCCAGCTTACAAAGACCTAGTTGAAGTGTAAGTTGGTTTAGCTCAACTGCGGTGAAGAAGCATCAAGAATGCAACATCAGCCTCAGCATGGGGCACGACAGTGTGAATAACCATGTACAAAGTTACAGCATGCTAGCCATAACAGTGAGTGTATGGATGTGTGTGTAATTGTGCATATGGGTACATAGTTAGCTTGTGTTTGTAAGTGTGCCGTTGTGCTTGTGACCGTTTGATAGCGTCGACTATGTAAGCATAGACAATTACTGTCCGCGGATTGGAGGTAGTTATCCGTATATCAACGGGGCAGTGAATATAGTTGGTGGTGAGGCACATTCGCCACGTCACACCGTTGATAAGGGGATATTTGTGACTTTCATAAGGAGAACACTTGTCAGCTGGAAGACACCACATCCTGGAACACTGCCGCGAACTATTTGTTGGAACGTGTTACACCCGAACCAGCCAGCTAGCGTCACTCGGAGGTTGTTCTGCTAGCCAGCCAATGGTTGGCAAAGATAGAGTAAGGTCAAAAGGTTAGCGGTAGCATATTAAGTCTTTAGTGTGTAGTTGTATGTTTGCTGGTGGCGGGAGAGACTATGGTGCGCTGAGGTTGGTGGTGGCTATATCCTGATAGATGGTCTACCCACTGATGCTAATGCTGTGCCATTTCCTCATGTCCTGGGCGCCTCCTCCTGGCGACCGCTGGGTGGGAGTTGGGTTACGCCCTTCTCCCTGCAAGATCCAGCACACCAATCCGCATGAGTCAGTTAACTGACCATGTGTTAGACCCGCTGCCTTACGGGTGTTCATTTAATAGAAGACTTTGGCTGAGGACCCGAGTTGTTCTCCTGTCAGGAGTCCGCGCCCCGGCAGTATCCTAATCCATCCTCTTCGGAGGATAGGAAGTGGTCGATGGCCCACTTCCCGTAAAACCTAGCCATGGGGGACAATAGGTCTACGGGTCATAAGCTCACAGCTCGATCGGCGTAGAGCACGAGCGCCACGCATTGTCTCTGACGGTGGGAGAGCACCTTCAGGTGTTCAATGGATTGCGACTGCCCGCCTCAAGCCAGGCAGCCCCTGGTCAAATTGGTGCAAACCCGCCAAAACCCACCTACGTCTGACCGTGGTCGCAGGTGCGTATCTTACTACTGTCGCAAAACATATGATAATTGTTCCAGAACATCAAAGGCTGCGTGTGACGGCCGTCAAGCAGGTCCCCATCTGTCTCTGCAATCACATTCCCGAACTCGATCTGCTCCCCACTGCATTGTGGGTCAGGCCATTGAGCCAAAGGTTTCGTGCGGAGTCCCGCAAGCAAACCTCCAAATCACCAACTGCCTTGTGGGTAAGGCTATTGAGCCAAACGCTCCGGGTGGAGTCCCTCAGGCAAAACTCCGAAGTACAATGACTACCTCATGTGCGATTGCCCACCAGTGCAATGGTATGACGCGCGCAAAGCACTCAGCATCAGGTGCTGGAACGTGCGCACACTACTGGACCGGAACTCCAGTGAGCGCCCCGAGCGACGCACCGCACTGGTCACGATGGAGCTGGGGCGTTACCATATCGATATCGCGGCGCTAAGTGAAACTCGACTGGCTGGAAAGGCAACTTGCATGAAGAAGGTGCTGGCTACACATTCTACTGGGTGGGCAACGCCGCCTCAGCACCACGTGATCATGGGGTCGGATTTGAAATATCCGATCTTCTTCATGGCCAGGTGGTGGGTAAACCAACTGGCAACAGCGCGCGACTGAGGACTGTTCGACTACGACTCGGAAGAGGTAGGTTTGCCACTTTTATAATCACGTACGGTCCGACCATGTGTTATCCTGATGACACGCGTGATCAATTCTACACTCAGTTGTCCTCCGTGATACGGTCTGTGCCGTGGAGCGACCGACTATTTCTGCTGGGTAATTTCAACGCGCGCGTTGGGTGTGATGCATCGGTTTGGACAGATGTTATCGGTTCGTAGGGCATTGGTTCAGCGAATTCGAACGGTGACAGGCTACTCTCACTGTGTGCCACTCACGGCCTGACGATCACGAACACTTGATTTGCACTGAGTACGAGTGATATAGGCACTTGGGGGCACCCACGGAGTGGTCGTGTTCACCTGCTCGATTATGTCATCGTACGTCAGCGTGATATGCGTGAAGTGCGCATGACACGTGTACTGCGTGGAGCTGAGTGTGGCTCTGATCACAAATTGGTGCGGACCAAACTCTACATATATTTTCGTAAATCGATATATTGCACTCCAGCCGTGAATCGGCGTAAATTTAACATTCTCTCCCTCGGTACTATGGCGGAACGTACTGAGCTGGAGAAGGCGATGGCTGCACGCCTATGTGATGTGGACTGCATAGTCACAGTGGGCGACCAGTGGCACCACCTTCGCGATCAGGTGACAGCTGCTGCCGAGGAGACCATCGGGCGCACAAACTGTAAGCGCCTGATTGGTTTGATAAGAACAATGCGACAATTGGCACATTGGTGTCGGAGAAGAATGCAACATTTGCTGCACATATCGCAGACTCCAGTGACTTGGGGAAGAGTAGTCTGCTTCGCAAACTTCAACGGCGACTGACCAGAGAGCTCCGTCGCATAAAAGATGCATGGTGGGCGGACAAGGCGAAGCAGATGGAATGCTACGTCGAATGCCGCCAACACAAGTAATTCTTTGACTCCTTGAAGGCGGTGTATGGACTGAGATTGGAGCCGCTGAGGACGCTGGTCGATGGTGGTTCAGGCGCTAC